GGGCCATGAATGCTCATGAAATTGGGGTTGGGGTGTGGGAGGGGGTGCAGGGCTCTCGGGTGGGGTCCGAAATGAGGAGTTCAGGGTGCGGGAGGGGGCTCTGGGCTGGGACATGGGGTTGGGATGCGGGGGAGGGGGGGGTTGAGGGCTCTGGCTTGGGGTGGAGGCTCGGGTGGGGCTGGTGGTGCAGGAGGGTGCTCGGGGCTAGGACCAAGGGGTTAGGAGAGTGGGAGGGGGATTAGGGCTGGGGCAGGGGATTGGAGTGTGGAAGAGGGTTGGGGTCCCCCCTTTGTCTCCTATGTGGAGGCGCAACCTCTGCATGCTGCTCCATATGCAGGCGCCACCGCTGCAGTTCCCACTGGCCATGGTACCCGGCCAATGGGAGCTGCGGGGACGGTGCTTGAGGTGGGGGCAGTGCGTGGAGCCCCCTGGCTGTCCCTACGTGTAGGAGCCGCTGCTTCCGGGAGCCATGTGGAGCCATGGCATGCCTGGAGCAATGTGGGAGGCAAGCCCCTGACCCCGCTCCCTGGCTGGAGTGCTGGAGTAGGGCAAGCCCCCAACCCCGCTCATCGACGGGAGCTTGAGGGCTGGATTAAAACGTCTGAAGGGCTGGATATGGCCCCCAGGCTGCAGTTTGCCCACCCCTGCTTTAGGACAAAGGCTCAGCCTGGGGTACACGGGCCCTTTAGGACTAGGGAGGCAGAAGACCTCATTCCAGGGAGTTGGAATGAACTAAGACCCAGGAAATGGGGGAATTAGCAGTTGGATGGGGGGAACCCCAGGCAGGGCTGGATTTAGGACTTGCGGGGCCCGATTCCGCGGTCTGTGTCTTCAGCAGCACTGAAGGACCCCCCGCTGCTGAAATGCCGCCAAAGACCCTGGAGCGCCCCCCTGCTGCCGCCAAAATGCCGCCAGAGCAGACCGCCGCCGGGTGAGCCTAAAGCGCGAGGCCCTCTTACCCGTGGGGCCCGATTCCGGGGAATTGTCCTAAAGCCAGCCCTGCCCCAGGACACTGCCCCTTTAAGAGTCTGGGACCACTTCCTCTCTTCTGCTACTGGACCATTTCCTGGGCCTTTGTTCATTCCAGTTCTCTGGAATGGGGTCTTCTGCCCCCTCTACTTTTAAAGGGCCAGTGTACACCATTACACTGGGTTATGTGGGGACGTGGCTGTGCAGTATCTTTAGCAGTCTGGGTGAGGGTACAATTGCCATTAAAAATAGCACCCTGATGCTGCAAAAGCAGGAGAAAGAGCCCTGGTTCTGTCAGGGGCTCGAAGGGAGGGGTCAGGGTACTTACTATCCTCTGGAGGCAGAAGGCTCTGCAAAGATGGGAGAGGAGGGCATGCTCCTTCAGTTTAAGGCAAGCCAAGAGTGTATTTGCTGCTGGGTCATGAGAGGAGCGTTTGGGGGGAGGTAGGTGTTTGAGTCAATACTGCCTTTTATTATTTTGCTATCCCCCATAATAGAACCACCAGTCCCATTTGGCCAGGCACTACCTTTCAGCCACCCATCACAGTGCTGCACCAAGGTGGGCAAGTGCCATTATCCCCACTCTACAGAGGGGGAAACTGAGTCAGGGGGAAAGGACGTGACTTCCCCCAAAAAAGTCAGTGGCAAAGTCAGAGCTAGAACCCAGGAGTCCTGACACCCTACCCAATGTTGAGGCCATTAGCCCAGAGCGGCCCCCTCCTCTCCTTTTCCAACTCTCCCTTCCTCTTATCCCTTTCTCCCCCTTCCTCTGTATGCCTCCCTCTCCTCCGCCTCTGCTGGTTCTGAGGCACCTGTCCTGGTGCTGATCCTGCCCCACTCTCACTGATCCACCTGGCCCCTTGGACAGCCTGCTGCTGCTTGCCCCTCTCCTGAACCAGTAATTGGCTGAGCTGACTCCAATGACCCCCGTGCTGGCCTGTGCCAGAGCTGGAGAGGTCCCTTTGCAGCTACATCCTGCTGAATCCAAGAGCTTTCCCCTCATTTTCACTGATTGCTCCTCCACAGGGCCCTTCCGGGGCCCAGGGATTCATGCTGGGAGGAAGGGCACCTACTGATGCAGAGAGCAGGGCTATGCATCTTCCACGCCCAGCTCCCTGCTCTAGGAAATGGCCTGGGTTGGTTCATCCCTGCACTTTACTCCCCCCATCCCGTAAGGCGCCCCTTAGCTGGCATGGGAAGATCGGGGACCCTTTCCCTTCCCGTCCTGTTGCTCTCTTCCTCTACTGGTCCCTCACTATGGCAGTCAGGACTCCTGGGCTCTGTTCCTAACTCTGCCATTCACTCAGTGGGCAGCCAGGGGCATGTCACGTCACCCCTTGATGCCTCCATTGCCACACTTGTAAAATGGAGACAATGGGGACTCCTGGAGGCTCCAGTACCATGGTAAGGTGCTCGAGACAGTATCCCCCATGGAGACAGGATCTGCCTGTGGCTCCGGATCCCCCTTCTCTCTGTTCATTTCTCTCCCGTCCCTCCCACTTCTCCATTCAGGCATAGCTGTGCTTGCTGTCAGAGCCAAGTGCAGGCACGGCCACACCCAACCTACTAAAGCCATTAATCAGACGTGGGTGGTGTGACAACCGCTTCACCCAAATCCCCTCGAAGCAGCATGTGGAAGGATGGGCTGGTGATTGGGGTG